GGCGGGGAGCTGGAGAAAGGCTCCAGCTGCTGGAGAAAATTGCAGGACAGCCAAGAGGAGCTGGAAAGCTGCGGGCGGGGGGAGGGAGGGGGATGACTACCGAAGGTGCGGGGGAAGCCTGAAAGCAGAGAAATGGACAGCAGAAAATCACAGGAAAAGCAGCAGGGGAGACTGAAAGGTGGCAGGGGCAATGGGAAAGCAGAGAAAGGGAGCAGAAAGTCAAAGGGAAAAGGCAGTAGGAATTAAGAGGAGATTGGGAAACTAGTGGAGAGGGGTGGGGACTGGAGCTGAGAGACAGAGAGAAAGAGGCTGGAATTCAAGATAAGGAAGGGACTGGGATTCATAAAACATGACCCAATTTGGGGTTGCAAATGACACTGGTTTTACTGAACAGGGGAGATGGTGACACAATGTTTTATTGGTTCCCTTGCACCCACACACACACACACACATGCACACACAATGGCAACAGGGGTTAGAGAGGCTTGGTGCAGGGGCTGAAGTCCACTGAAGTCCAGGAGGAGAGAGAGAGACAGAGAGTCCAAATTGTAGGAGGAGGTGTGCAGGTAATATCTACCAATCCAGGCTGGAAAGGGGTCCTTGTCCAGTAGGTGTTGTCCAGAGGGAGGTCGCCAGCAGGGCCTCTGGGTGGATAGGTGGTGTGGCATGTTGCTGGTCCAGATGGAGAGGGCATCCCACTGGGTTTGTCTTCACTGCCCCTTTTTATAGGGGCAGACCTTGTGTGACCCTAGTGACAGGAGGCATGCCCAGGCAAGGGTCAGCCCCTGGCGTACTGAGCATGTGCGCTCCATGCAGGGATGTGCAGTTTTGGGTGTCTGTAATGGTGAGAGTTGCTGGTTCTGCAGGGTCTTTTGTCTTTCAAATGCTGGGTATTTTTTCCTGGGTGAGGTCCATGGTTCCTGGATGAATCAATGTGAGGTGATGGCCCAGTCATTACAGGCCATTCAGTAGAGGCCTGCTGCCATTGTATTTGAATCATTCCCAATCATTCTCATTCATCCGGGAACCAATTTACATAGGAGGCGTACGTGACTCATACAGTTGCAACACAGGGGATGCCCAGGCAGAGGACACAAGGTGGAGGATTGACATATAGAATGAAAACTTGACATGACTTTGGTTCACTTGCAAACACAGGCCTAAACCATACAATATCCATATGAAACAATAAAAATCAATACGAAAATGATAATAATACAATATACAACAGTAAGAATCAATACAAACCTAATAATAATACAATATAAAACAGTGGATATCCAAAACCAAAAACTTGCTACCAAAATAAAAATGATTAAAGCTTATCCTAAGTTTGAACTCGCTCATGTATAGGGAATAGAGAGGGAGAGAAAAAGTCAGAAGTGGTTGGGGAAGGGGAGGGAATGCATTTTAAAATAAATAAATAAAAGAAAAACTGGGGGTTTTGCTACACTTATCAAAGAATTTAGCTCTCTTATTTGAGTTGTTGGTTATAATTCATGGTTTTAAAAATATGTTGCCTGTGGCTAGGGACAGACATTCAAAAAGCCCGAACCTAAGTTGATTCAATCTTTGCAGGTTAGTTTAACCTGTAGAGATTTGAAACAGTTTGCAAGTCGGTAGACATTCCCTTTTCATTCCAGAAATACAGGCACATGCCTGCAGTAGCTCAGGCCAGAAGCCTGGGGGTGCTAGAGCAGCCCTCCCTTCCCTTCCACTGGGAAGCTGAGGGAGCAGGAGTGGGAGAGCATGGCCAGGCCCTGGCAAGCCTGAGTAAGACTGAGGAGGGGTTTAAATCCCCACTTTGGCCTACAGGTTTCAGAAGGTGGAGGAAGAGGGAGCATGGCCAGATCGGGGCATGGCCAGACCCCTGTGGTGGGGGAGCAGGACCAGGGGAGAGCTCTGCCCACCACAATAGCTCCCTGACAGCTGTGAGAAATCCAGGTACACAGTGCTGCCCAGTCCCAGAGTGGGATTCTTCCCTCTGCTCCTGACGCCCTCTGCCACAGGGTGGGGAGGAAGACTCTGTTTGGTGCTGGAGGGGGACTCTTCCCTCTCCTTCTCCCCTGCCCACCTGTGGGGCTGGGAGGGGGCTCTGTGCAGTGCTGCCTGGCCCAGCCCAGTCCAGCCTGGACATGGGGAGTGACTGTCACTGAGCTGCAGCCCCTGGGGGTGGCCCTGCCTAGCCACGCTGAACATCTGCCTCAGCTGGGACTGACTGGGGCCGTCTCAGGCCATGTGGGTGGGGCCACCCCCAGGGGCTGTGGCTCAGTGCCAGCCGCTCACCATGCCCTGGCTTGGCCAGGCTGAGCAGCACTGCATAGAGCCCCGCTCCCTGCGTTGTGCTGGTGGGGGGCAGGGGAGAGGAGGGGGAAAAGTCCCCCTCTAGCACCAAGCAGAGCCCCTTCCTGCTCTGCAGGTGGAAGGGAGGAGCAGGGGGAAGAGTCCCCCTCTGGGGCTGGGCAACACTGCAAAGATCTGCCTTTCCCACCATGCTCTCCTCCATCTGCAGTCCCCTGGTGACTGGGGGTGGTGGTTAACCCCTTCCCTGCCTCCTTAGCCTTAAAGAGGCCATGCCAGAATGGCTGCAGTCCCTGGTGGTGGGACAGGGAAGGGAGAGGGAAATAAGCCCCCTCCTGAGCACTGTGGCAGAGGGTGCTGCCATTCCCCATCCCCTTGCCGTTCCAGTGGTGAGATGTGGCCAGACACCATCCTGGCATGGCCCCGTTAAGGTGAAGGGGGTAAGGAGGGGGTTAATTCCTCCCTCCATCCCATCTGCCCTGGAGCCAGGGTCTGCCAGGCTAAATTGCCCCCACCACTGACCTGAAGACAGGCTGACCCTGGCTGTGGTGGGTGGGAGCGGGGGTGGGGGCGGGGAAGGAGGGGAGAATTAACATCCTCCCTGCCCCCTTTGCGTTAACATGGTCACGCTGGCTGGTGTCTCACCATGTCCCCACCCCTTGGGCTAGAGAGTGGTGGGGCGGGACCAGCCCTGCTCTCTGGAGTAGAGAGCAGAGCACAGTCCAGCCTAGAGAGCATGCTGGGATGCTAGACTCTGGTTTAACTTAAACCAGGAAGGGGTCTGGGACAGAAGTTGCATAAACTGGATTGACCCAAATCAGTTAAGTCTGATACTACATTCAACCAGGTTTATCTTAAACCAGTTTTGCCCATTTTGAAACTGGTTTATGTGCACTGAACTTATGTTCTGTTACACGTTTGAACCAGTTTCTGATCACTTAAATCAGTTTATGTGTAACTTCTGTCCATAGACTATGTAAAGTTATTTAACAAACATCTTATGTGACTTTATTTTGGAACCTGGATCAATTGTTTGTTGTGTAATTGATCACCCATAAACACATAGCATTGTTTGTTTTTTTCTGACTGAATTACTGACGCTTGCAATAATGAGGAAAGCTGAGGAAATCACAACTTGTTTGAAACTCCATGTAAACAGATTTGCATAATTTGCTTTAATTTTCTCTAAAATTCCTTGTGAACATGAATGTCTAATTATGAAAGTTTATGGAAACATACGGTAACAAATAATGTATATGGTAGAACATAATTTAATTAGCATAATTTATTAGGTTCAAAATTGCATTCATTTAGTCTTCTTGAGTATCTGCTAAAAAAATAGTCACATACCTAAGAAAGCTGGAAAAAGAAGCAATGAATGCATTGATGCAGATCCCGCAATCGGCCAATGCAACGCTGACTATCAGGAGGTTACCAGGAGTTTGGAGTTCTTTGATTTTTCGGAAAGACACAATTGTTAGGCCATTCAAACAGAACCCAAGCAAGGCTGAAAAAGACATAATTTTGGCTAGAATCAACTGGAATGGGAAATATACACAATTATTCCCACATTAAACAATATACAGATTGTCACTCATAAAATATCCTTATTGTGATATTGACATAAACAATGAAAGGATTTTCAAGGAGTCCTAGATATAGACATGATGTCATTATGGTTTAGTTTTCTCATGAATCAGAACCACTTTGGTTTTGTTCATTCTTTTATAGTCCACTCTTCCTTTTTTGTAGGAAGAACTTTGCCAAGTTCCATTCAGGGATCCATGATCCAAGGCAATGAAGATGTCAAAGGTATAGTTTCAAAAGAAACAGCAATTGGTAGTCAGTAGGCATGTCTACACGACATGCTACTGTGCAGTGGTTACTGTGCATTTATTTAGTACTTGTATAATCCAAATACTAAATAAATGCACAGTAACCGGAGTGTCTGTGCGGTAGCGCCGGCAAATGCCTTTTAAGTGATGCTACTGCGCAGTAGCTTAATAATACTGTGCAGTAACTTGTTAGCACTGTGACATGCTACTGTGCAGTATTAGTCAGCTACTGTGCAGTCAGTGCCTTGTTGTAGACATGCTCTTAGACTATCATGTTTTCAGGCTTCTCTTTAGTAGAGAAATAGGTAAAGTTTAGTATTATTTTTTTCCCTATAACTTGCCTTCTATCTACCTGCAGTGTCTTTCAGTTGATTCTCAGTCAGTCTGTCTTTAGCTTTTCCTTAAGGTTAACTTAGCCATTGCCTGAATTGCATGAACTTACTCTTGTTACCATTCTTCTGAGTTGGTTGGTCTGCAACATTTCCCACATTACAAGCATTAGGAAGAACCCAGTCATTTGGGGGTGTGCAGTATTTAGGCAAAGTACTCAGGGAAGCATATAGTGAACACAGTCTCTGCACTCAGAGACAGGAGGTAAGGGTAGGTGAATATGGGCTACGGAGGGAAGATGTTTCAAGACAAAAGAGTGTAATAGAAGGCCAAAGCACTTTTAATGTGCCTTTTCACATTAGCTTGAACTTATTTCTATGGTGATAACTCTGTTTCCTATTGGCACCATATGCCTGATGCATCAAAGCTATTTCAGATAAAACGTGCTAAGAAAAATAGAGTAATGCTAAAAAATCCTTATTCCTAATTACTTATTATACTAAACTTGCACTGATTGTCTTGTGCAGTTGCATATACTGAGCAGCTTTGCATAGTAAGCAGTCCTTCTCCTATAATGAAACATAGTTGAACCTGAGTAACAAACTGCCCTAAAGTCTATGCCCTAGGACAAAATACGACATACATTTCTCCAAAATCAGTATTTTTAAAGTTCCTTTTTACATGAATTGAGGGAAAAGCAATTAGGAGAAGACTTTCTCTCTCCTCCCTCCCTCAAATTCCCACACATTAGCTTACTTTCCACCTAGAGTAGTGCTATTGAATGACAATAATATCTAAATAACAGAAATAATTGCAGAACAGTTATAAAGTGACTGTGATTGCAATGTGAATGCCAGGTAGCCCCAATTGTATACCCTGGGTGTACCTACATGTGAAATTAATTTAGCGCAATAGCCTGGCACAGTTCGTGCCAGAGTCTACTGCTCCTGGGCACAACATTTCCATGTGTTAACAGGACTGTAGCACATTGAGCCAGGAGAGTCAGCTTGCCAGCCTGGGGCTGCTCTGCCTTGGCTTAATGTGCTGTGGAGGGGCTGGCTGGGGCACGAGGGTGCTACAGCGTGGGGTTAGCCAGCAGGCAGCCCTGGACTGTAGCACCCTCATGCTCCAGGTGGCCCTGGTCACCATCAACACATGTTGTGGTGGAGTGAATAACTCCACCATTGAATAGTACTTGTGTGGGTAGTACTATATTATGGTGGAGTTAATTAGTTTACTCTGGCCTAATAGCACTGGTCATGTAGATAGTGACACTCTACTGTGGAGCTAATTGATCAGTAAGCACCTTGTGTAGATGCACACCCTGCTTGCAACTCTGTTAGTCTTCTTTCTTGTCCAAATAATGATGTGAATGAAGACAAACATAGGCCATCCTGCCTGCAAATTACATATGCAAACTGCACCAAAATCAGTAGTATAACTAAGGTGGGATAACTGAGACAGCAGCCCTTGGTGCCAACTTGTCAGGCAGGGGAGGGAGGGAGGGAGGGAGACAGAGGGCAGAAAGCTATACAATCATGTTGGTGGTCCTGGAAGCTGGAAGTCACCACCCCTCAATGTGTCACTGTTACCCTAGGAACTTTTTCTGCCCTGTTACACCTTTGCCAAAAAGAAAGTATTCATTCCACTTGTAAAAACATATGAAGTGCCATACTGGGTAAGACCAATGGTCTATCTAGCCAAATACCCTGTCTCCGACAGTGGGCAAGTGGCTGCTATAGGTGGAGACCATTAAATCCAATATTTCTAGAGTCATCTATCCCCTATTCAGTACCCTTGCTGGCATCTATCATCATAGGTTTAGAGATGCCAGAGGAAACATTTCCAACCATTTGGGTCTAGGGACTACCTGAAGAAGGGGCAGGCCCAGAGGGAACCCATCCTCATTGGCCCAGTGGACTAGCCAGACCATTGAAGAGAGAGCCAGAAGATGAACCAGTGTTTGCTGTCCCCCAGAGAGTGGAGGTTACAGCTCAGGCACAGAGTTGTACAACCTGCATGGTGATGCAGGACCTAGGTGGCTGAACCAATGAATCCCACAGAAGCTGGGATGAGCCTTAAGTAAAGAACTGACTGACCCAACAGAGAGAGAGCCAGCCAGATTAGTAAGGGGCTTGTTTGGTGATTCTGGGGACAGGCAGAACAGGATCCATACCTGGAGGCACTCGGTGAAGGCACAGCAGTGCCAGGATTAGATAAAGATTTGAGGGAAATTTAATTTAGCAACTGTGAATGAATTTCTAGAAGCGATCAAAAAATGAGAAGGAAATTAATTTAGGAACTGTGAATGAATTTACAGAAATGATCAAGAAGCAAGAAGGGAATTAATTTATGAATTATGAATACATTTATAGGAATGATTAGGAAGCATGAAGTAAATTCATTTATAAATTCTGAAGAGGTGAATGGGAAGCCAGTAAGTGAATTAACTTATGGACTTATGGAATTAATTTATCAGATTCCTCAAAAGAAGAGGAGTGAACTAATTTGGGGACTCCTCAAGTGAGTGTGTCTAACATTATGTTTATGAATAACCAGTTGACTTAACAGCCAGATAGTGATTTTGTGAGAGTTGAGACAGAAGTTGGGGTTAATTGACGATGTAAGGAACATGGAAGGAGCCCAGATTAAGGATCCAGACTGGATCCTTAATGTAGAACTGGCAGGAATCTTTCACCACAGACCTGAGAGGAAAGGGGCACGGTATATGGGATGTGGAGCCCTACAGAAGAACCAGTGGCCTAGCCAGATAGGCCTTCATCCAAGGGATCATCTAAAACCTTCTCAAGGAAACTAAAACATCAAGGCATGGTGGACAAGTGGGAGGGTGGGATGAAGGTCAGACATGTTCCAACGTAGTGGTGGCTTGAAGATCTACACACGCTCATAATGCCCAACACTTTATTGGCTTTTCTGATCACCACAGCACATTGAGATGATGCTGTTAGACAACTATCTACAGTGACTCCAAGGTCTCTTTTCTGAATCATAAAAACTAGTTCAGAACCCAGCATTGTGTACATATAGTTGAGGTGCGTTACCTTGCACTTGTTGACAGTGAAGCTTATCTGCCATTTTTCTGCCCACTAACTTAGCTTGGTGAGATCTTTCCACAGCTCTTCTCCATTAACTTGAGACTTGACTACCCAGAATAATTTGTGAGTATGTGACTTTTTATTATTTAGAATTATTTACTTTTGATTGAAGGCATCTTATTTTTCTGTCCAGTTCGACAATAAAATATTGGACTACTCATTCAATTAATTTTGCTAAATTACCAAGAACATTCATGTAAAATATTACATAAAAGGTTGAACAGAGACAACTTGGAGTGCATTTTCCCTAGTTAAAATTATTTGGACCTTGGATACATTACAAAAAAATCCTAGCAAATGTGTAGGCCTGTTTTAATGTAATTTAATGTAATTACAGTAGTAGTTTATTTGGCCTTCAGCCACCAAATGCTTGCCTCTGGGGACTGCATGTGCTTTGTGTGTGTATTTGTGTTTCTTTCAGCCATATTCCAAAGGGATGTCTTAAATGAACTGGCTTCCTTCAAACAGCCAAAGCATTACTACTAAATTCTTTTGCAGCATCTAGTATGGTAAAGCAACTAGTTAAAGTGGCATGTAAACTGAGAATAAAAACCCTCCAAACAGTTCAAATTCCATTTTAGGAGAATCTACAACATTAATGCATGTCTAAACAGTCTATGAAATACCAGTGGATTGATCCTTCAAATGGAGGAGAACTACAGATTTAAAATAGAGTAAAAGAGATAGATATAAATACATGTATCAAAGATGGACAAGCAGGTACTAATAACATAAAATCTATTTAATTTTTATTAATCTGTTTTTATTTAATAAATAAAGTTTAACTTGGATCTCTAAAAACTTGAATAAACATCTTTGTGACTTTCAAAGTTGAGCTAAAGAGTTTTTTATTAAATATTTTTCATTTTTACATTTCCCTGGTATCATGACTCAAAGCATGACTCTAGGACCTGATCCCTGCAAAAGCAGAAAAGAACACAAACCTAGAGGTGATCAGAAAAGACTTCTTTATTAAGATAGCAGGAACTACTGTTTGCCAGAAGAAAAAGTATCTGTTTTGCAACATTTTCAAAATTATGAGAATCAGGTAAACAAATAGCACATAGACTCCCTACATTTAGAAACTGAAGGTGAACCTGAGTTGGGAAGGGGAAATGATTGAGTGCAAAAGAGAAGAACAGAAGGCTGAAGTGGGGAAGACTGGAAGCAGAGTGAGCAGTTAAGAGTATTGATTGTCTGGAGAGCAAGTGTTGCAATAGTTGTTTTGGACTGGAAAATGTGCATTTCATGAAACAAAATGTATTTGCTAAATATTAATATGAAATCATGAATCGGTCTAGCCCTCTTCCCCAAAAGAAAATAAAAAGAACACAACAGTAAAAGAACAGAAAATATCAACAACAGAAAATTATCTTTGAATTTCTACTTAAGGCTAAATAACTGTTACCAACTCTTAGTAATGCAGTTACATAAACAGAGCAGTTCATTTGCAGGCAATCTCCACCTCTACCCTTACCCTCTCATAATCACAAAAACTGTTGTTTCTATGGCTACACAATCAGTAAGTCTATATTGCTGCATTGCCAATGCTTCTCCTCACTCATATTTTCCAATATTTTAAAATCCATTTTTGCTTCACTTTCAGGAATTACAGGAATTCACCTGATCTTCCTTCTGCAACTTACCTTCAACCAGCAGGATTGTGCCAATGCCAAACACCTCTAATTCAGTGAAGCCTTCAGGGAGAGGGTACGAAGTGACCATATTTGCAGCAGTAAAGCTAACTAATTCAAATTCTGCTCCCTGCCCCTTCTCTGTTGACCTTGCCTTGAATTGCCATATCTTTTAGTATCCCCAGTCAGCAACCTTCTTAAAGGGCCAGTTCACATGCAGGCACATGCAAGTTATTATCTAAAAGCTTTGGATTTTTAGTGTGAATATTGAAATCTGTACAAGAATGCCATGAATGACTGGAATAAAAGCAACCTCCCCCTCCCTGCAAATCGTATTTCCGACACCACAGAAGGAAAACATTCATTGCATTTACAATAGGTCTTTGTAGAGACAAGTGTAAGAAGGCTCTGAGGTTAATTCTGTAACACAGAAAAAGAATGAAAGGTCATAGAATGAGAGAAAAGCATCTAATATATAATTCAGTGTAAACTGAAAAATCTTATATTTTAAAGGAATTTCTGATATATATATGTTTCCCTGTGTAATTGTACATAGAAAGGTATGGGGGTGTATTTTTTTTACAGAAATAGCTCTAAATCATTTTCCCCAAACCATATTTTGCTTGTATTATTTAATTCCATACCATTACACTAAAATGGAAAAGTATGCCAGGAAAATCTCATTTCCTTCTATGACCAGGTGACCTATCACCTGGACAAGGGAGAAGAGATTGATGTCATATATCTTGACTTCAAAAAAGCCTTCGATCTGGTTTCCCATGATCGCCTCTTGGAGAAGATGGCCAATTGTCGCCTTGGGTCCTCCACGATCCACTGGCTGGAAAA